CTCATACTGCTCAGGTGGAATTGTTTGCTCAAATGAACCTAAATTTTATTTAAGCACAACGGTTAAATTTCATTTCATATATTAGTATTTAAACAAATTTAGAGTTCATACAGGTTTTTCTGAGCTTCTGAGGTTTAATTACTTATAACTGAATAAATTTGTACAGAATAGTGCAATTCTAAATTATCATCATCATTTTTTAAACAAATGATTGATTTAGGACTGATGAAAACTAATTTTGCTTTAGGGTATCTGCTGGATAAAAATTAATAATCTTATCCACATAAAATTTAATAATTATCCATCCGATTATATGTATTTATATAAAATCTGGGCCATTAGTTCCCGTGCAAACACTACCACCACCAAGCATTCACCAATCATGTCTAATCAGATGTTACTGTGGCCAGAAATGTCACAAATACCCTTATATTCGATTTGAGGACTTTTTTCGTGGTGCAAATATTACCTCTTTTCACTTCCTGACAAATCTCAGTGATCAGATGGGTCGACGCTTAGAAAACCCAATTTCCAATTCACAAGACAAAAGGTAGTGAAAGAGACTAGTATAGTTGTACACTTTAGGTGCCAATGACCTCTCATGCTGATGTCCAGATCTGGGTGTTCCATTAGTACGCGGATATAACTTTTAAACCAGGGGTGTGCGATAAACTTACCTCCATGTGGTGCACAATGGGTAACGCATACTCATACGGCAAAAAAGTCTATAAACCGGCGGTTGACTTCTGACTTCTGATTACTATGACCCGACACTATGTCATATTACACCATTTCATAGTACTCACCTCTCCTTGTCTCTGCCTTTGTGTTTGTCTGTCTGTCTCTCTTGCATCTGTGAATCACTCATCTGTCCCTCCTCTCGAATTTTTCTCACTTTGATGTTTCTACCCTCTGTGAAGCCCGAAGTCAGCTAAAGGGCTAATGATGATGATAAAACACCTGCTACTTGAAATAAACAAATCTCGAATGTATTAGTGAAAAATAAAGTTAGTTGCTTGATGGTCCCTGAGTCGAAGTAAAAAAGTCCTTTCAGATGCAAAACGACCAGTAAATTGTATTGGAACAAAGCATCGCTCTTCGTCATTTTTATGACCCATAATGGAAAAACAGATCAGTAGGAACTTAACCGTTTAAGCAAAATTTGTGAATTTAACATTTCATTAGATTAGAGAATTTCCTTTTGGTCTATAAATTTCAGAGGTGAGTGTTGGCAATATGACTTGTTTTCATGTTCAATAGATTCAATTTAACTCCAATTTTATTATTGATTACGTAATAGAGGATGAAAAATTTTGCAAATCAAATTCACATGGTCGTGCACATGTAGGTAATACCTAATAGTCAATCCATGAATATAACAAATTACTTGTTTTAAACGTTCAGAACTATTGTTCTGAATTCAAATAAATTAAGTTATTTCATTATCATATTAGAATGAGAACAATGTCAAACTTGATTGGAATTTAGCTGTTATAGATTTAGAGTTCAAAACCCCTAATAAATGGTATATTTTCTACTTGTTCCCTCAAAATCAACTTTTCTCAGCGCTTCAGATAGCATAGTCAAAGTAGAATTCCTCCTCACTACCCATTTCCTCAAAAGAGGAGCAATTAAGGCGTCGCTATTTAGATGAGCATGCACACGGCTTTCCTGTCTTTTTGCTGTCAAGGTCACAGAGAGCTTTTATTCGCTTCCTGTTGAAGGCCCCAGAGCATTTTCTCATTTGAGTAAAATTAGAACAAGACCATCATTCGAATAAGTGATGAAAATGAACTCGGCAGTAGAGTACATTAAAAATTCTGATTTCTGCATTGATTAGCTCACTTTACTCGGCAACAGGTGATAGAAATAGTCCAATTTTGAAGCGTCTCATAATTCAATTTGCCTGTATTTTGTATAAATATAACCGAATTTAGCTTATCGTCGTTTGATTTACTCGTTTTAAACGACTGCTAGTCTCTAGCGGCAAGACAACACGTAACCATAGGTCTCAAATACTCTGAAGAAATGTTGTTAAGTTGGTATGTGAGGGAAGTTGCTATCGGCAAAATATTAGCAGTCAACTAATCATGTTGGGGATAGACCATTACCTTCTAAATAATTTATTTGGGTAGAAAGCCTGATAGAGGGTGTCTTTGTCGACCCAAGAAGCCACAAAAAATTTGATATATGACAACGTCATTAATGTGAGCTTATATATTAAACAAGAGTTATTTATACCAAAAAGCATGCCTTATTGCACAACTGACACTAAGAAAGAATATCAATTACAATCCCATGGTGGTTAACTATTAAGGTAAGTCATGAATAGAACAAGCCCACTAATCACTTTTAAAAAAAGTGATAATATATGATATCTGAGGATGAAACAGAACGGAGGCTAAAAACGCCAAGGCATGACAATAACAACGACCCATATTACCCATCGATTATTCGACCGCCCGAAAAATTGCATTAAATCATATTAGACATGCAAACAGGTATCTCGTAATGATTGGAACAGTCTTCTCCGACCAATTGCAATGCCGCTATATCTTGATTCCAGGGGTATAAATTGATTATTAATATGGTCATTAATCAATAAATCAATTGAAGTCCGTCCAGCTTAGGAGCTAAATCTTGTTTTATTTAAGCGTTGTCTCCTTTTAGCATCTTTAATGTAAATAGGAGTATTGGCTAACTAAAAGGTACCAAGGGTTATTTATTCTACAGCATTTAATCGAAATGCTCAATATTCATAGGGAATATTTGTTTAAAGTGACATAGAATATGCCTATTACTGCATAAAAAAAACATTTAGGAACTATAAAATTGTAATGAAATTTATTGGAACATTATATAATCCCCAGCATTTTACTTGAAATTGCGATAGCCGAAAACGTTAAATTAGAATCGGTACGTTCAGATTTTAGTGAAATATTTACTGAAGATGAATTTATAATAATTCATAATGCGAGGAAGAGGAATTATTTCTTGCATAAAATTGAAAAAATGGTGACTAAGTGCTAAAAATCGAACATTGGAAGAAAAATTCATTTTTCTTTGGTTCGAATAGTTGAACTCACTTTAGTGAAGCACATTTTGATCAAAAAGATAACAGAAAAGATAAACCACAAATGCAAATAGTGATCATATATATCGATTGAATTTATTGCCAGCAATGAGCCTCATTCCATTTTCTTCATTTATTAACATTATATTCACTACTTGCGGCTCAGCAACTCGCAAATCACCTCTTTTTTATTAGGCGATAAGATTTTTAAAGCATTAAATGAATCGAAAGGAATATTCTATGGGATAAGAATTTAGTAAGGCAGTGAGAACATTTGGTCATTGTTCGCATTCAAGTTAATAATAATAAGTATAAAACATTGTTTATTTTCGTTTAACTTTATTTGGCCTAGAAACAGACCAGAAGGTTTTATTTATTTCACACTAATATTCACTAATGAAATTAGTTTCAAAAATTTTGGCCAGATTTTTGTGCACATTCATTTTAGCTACTTAAGGAAAATAAGGGTATAACGAAAGATATTTTTACATTTTTTTAGCGTAAACTCTTCTCTTTAAATGGAAGAACAAGAGACTTGGATTTGCATTGGTTACAAGTGTTGGAATTTTGTGATGAATCCACTTTCCAACCTGTTATGCTCAAGAAGAAGAAATAAAGTTAGGTGTCAAATTCCTTTCTAAGTGCGTGAAACTTGTGGTCGATTAGCCATATATACAAACAATTGAATGCTTGGAATAAGACTCAGCTGATTTAATATAATCGATTTATGGATCGAATTTAGTTGGAATGAAAAAATCGCGACTTCCTGAAATCGATTTTTATACAGATCTATGCAATTATGGGGTTGCGTTTCCGTATATGCCTAAGAAGATCCATATCTTAAAGTCCAGTTAGTCGTAAGGACCTTTTTACTCCACAAAACCCTCAGGATTCAGATTCTTGACATAATTCCATTGGATAAAATTAATTACTCCATTCACTATAGCTTTCGTACTAACAAATCATTGTTACGATTTAGTTTGGTTTATACGTTTATTGTTGGCATTAGTCAAACTGTTCCCTACGTGGCAAAAGTAGGACATTCAAAAAGTGATCGTGTTGGGGAGCAGCAGGTTGCCAACACACTGCAGTGTAACCAACTAATGACCGAGAACCAGATCGCATGAGCTGAGAATATGACCAGTAGATAACATCAATTTCAAAAAGTGGAGAATTGAATAAACCCAGATGAGGATACGGGAGTGGGAGAGAGAAAAAGGATACGAGGGAAGGTAGTAAATATGAAGAGAGCCGTAGTATGAGTCAGTTAGACAGGCACGTACATACTGTTAACAGCATGTGAACTTTTAAACGAAATGAGCCAGTAATAGACCGACGTTCATATTTAAAGGACCACTCAGTAAAAGCAAATTTCAAGGTCAAGAAATGGCTTAGTAAGCTAAATGACGAACCATGGAGTTTGAATTTAGGATTGGAAACTTTATGAGGACTACTCGAAACTTCCTTCCTTTTATACCTGATTTCATTTGCTCTAATGTGCTTTAGTTTAAAATTAATTAAAACTTTTCTTATTTACTATAATCCGCAATAAAATAAAATACAATGCAATGCAAATATATGCTATTTTGCAATCGAGCGAATCTGTAAAATTAACGCAGAATAAATATTTGCCAGGGTTTAGTAACCAAATAGCGAAGACTTTCCAAGAGCCTTCTAGCTGAGTTATAAATGTCAATTTTAGCTGTTTTCTTTCCAGACACGATAAATGGCGAAATCGTATTGGGTTTTAGATTCAAAATGTAAATGACTACATTTCATTAAAATGGCAAGCTTTTGATTGGCCTATTAGACTTGATCAAGCTCACTTGCGATCAGCAAAAAAAGCTTTCATATCTGCCTTAAGTTAGGTTGGTGAGAAATAACTTTGCCCATCGAAATATCCAATAGGCCCAATTCGGGGGAAAATATGGTGCGTATCGAGGATGATAGTCCAGTGGAGAGGGTATCACCTGCCTCAGATCCAGTACCTGACAATGACGGAAACGAGCAAACAGTAGGTTTGTTTAAAATAGTAATAATTGATAATGAGTCTTGGTGTTTACATGTCATACCTTTATCTGCAAGGGAGGATGAAATTTCGTTTAACTGTTTTTAGGCAAGCAATGATGGAAAAATTCCAGTGTCAAATGCTACGAAATTGGCGAAAGCGATCTCAAGAAATTGTCATTCAGATATTGAAAGGTTACTGAAAGAAGAGTTATGCGACGAAACTAGCTTAGTTCGTGCTATTCCCCTATTGAATTACGTTGCCTCACTTGGAAATCTCTTTTGTGTCCAGCTCCTTGTTGAAAAAGGTTGTCCATTCATGACGAGAGACTGTGGCGGGTATCTGGCTCTATCTTTGGCAGCCAAAAATGGGCGCTTGAATGTGGTGGCTTACTTGACGAAATGCATCGAAAAAACAGGAAAACCCTATGAGAAGGAGTATAGAGAAGCTATATGTTTTGCAGCCTACATGGTAGGTTTCTGGTTTTATATGACCGTCTCAAGGGACACCTATCTATTGTCAAATTACTCCTGGATCATTATGGGGACATCTGTTATGGGTTGAGGAATCCTCATAGAAACAGAAGTGCTCTTATAGCAGCCGTACTAAATGGCGATATAGGAGAGATGAACCGCCTTCTTGCTGTAATCAATGGAAGCTATCATCTGATGAAGTACAAGAGTGACTTGAAGCTAAATAGGTTGGAAGGCATTCGATTGTTCATTGCTCTAGCGGTTGCTAAACGAGACAGAGATGTTGTCAAAAGACTACTGCAATGGGCTGATGACTATAAGCCTTCAGTATACCAAACTGACGAAGACCTGTATGAAAAGGCTCTTGGTATTGATGGATTTACTATAGCGTTTGATATGTACACTCGTATTAAACAATGTCAATAAATTCTCTCAATTAATTTTGCTGAAATGTGATGCTTGTTCTTTATTGATTATTCAAATCAAATTCAAAATTAGGTTGGGTGACCATTGTTTGAACTCGTTTTGAGCAAAGGCATGGCGTCATAGATTGGCATCTTTAAGAAAATTTAAATGGACCCACTAATAATTGGCCTGACTTAATAATCACACTTGGCCATTCAGGACTCACAAGCAAACTCTGGTCAATCGTAATTTAGAAGGAAAATTAGCGAAATTTTTTGTAAAGTACTAAATTTGATTTAATTTATATATGGATAGTATTGCTAATTTTGTTATCCACGAAAATGTGTCGAATTTTTAACTGGATTCAACAGGCCATTTTTCGCATGATCGAACACAGTAAATCTTCAGATTTATGTTACGCATTTAAGATCTTAGCTTATAAATCAATAAAATGAGCGTTAGGCGTGCAAAATAAACGTAAAATTGACCTTTAAACGAGAATCTCTCATTGGAAGCTTACGTGAGTCACATATTAATTGTACTCATTGGAAAAGTGCGGAGTTTAAGGGCGGGAGTGATGATTAGCAAGGAAAATATTCTAATTGGGATGATTAACCAATCAGATTAATTGCATTCCATTTCCAATATCTACTGCCTTCCCCTATTCGATTATCATTTAACCTGGTTATGGCCCTTTTAATCATGTTACTGTTCAGTTTGTATCGGTTTTTTCTGACTGTTTAAAGAGAATCCATTTCCATTGCTTGTAAAAAGATTGCACGATTTTCCTTGTTACTAATTCCAGTATCAATATTTTGCCGTCGTTACTGGGTTATTCCAATCTCGAATAGGCAAATTATTTAAAATCTGAAATGAGCAAGGAGTCTACAAGTTTCTAGCATTCCATTTTAGTGTCTCCATTGGCTCCAAGTCTTCACTGATGGGTCATACATAGAAAACCAAGCAAACGTTGGTGCAGGTTTCTACTCTGAACTCTTCTCTTTCTACGCAGCAGTGGGACACAATAGATCCGCTTTTGAAGGAGAAATAGAGGCCATTAGGATAGCACTAGGCCAATTATGTTGCCTAGATACGAAATTCACCAAAGCGGTGATACTTTTGGACTCACAGTCAGCAATAAACTCTATTGGAAACAGAGAGCCACCCAAAACAGCTAAGATAAAGGAATGTTGAAAACTCTATGAGCTGCTGAGAGAGAAAAGCAAAACAGTGGTCCTACAATGGATTTCTGGTCACTGTGGAATTAAAGGCAATGAGCTTGCTGACACACATGCTAAGAAGGGACAGCGATTTTGCTATGCATGTACCAGCCGATGTCTTTCCACACAATGAAGGCCTTAGTCAGAGGAGAATTCCAGACCTCAAGGTGCAACGAACTTAAAGCTCGAACAAAGGAGAAACAGTGGACAGTGGCACTCTCTGAAATAGCCAAATGGCCAAGAATCAAAGCCATTGCTGAGTTTAGACTACGCACCGGACACGACTGCCTGGCAAAACACCTTCACAGATTGGGAGTATACACTTAACCCACATGCCCCCTATATAACCTACAGGAGGAAATGGAAAAGACCCACCTGATTCGGTGTCCAGCCCTAAAGACAACGATGGAAAGCCAGAGATACTGGGAAGCAAGAAGACAGCTAATGAATCGCTATTAATTAACTGCTATAAATGTACCCCCCCACCCTTGGGGGAAGCTGAAGTCAAAGTTTAAGGGCCAATGATAGATATCATAAAACCTGCCATTTGAAATAAATAAATAAATTTTAGTGTCTTCTCAGGTTTAGCTCAACTCGTGAGACGAAGGCGCTCAAGGAGTCTTTATTAAAGAAGATCGGACGTGTGAGTCAATTAAATGCATTAAGCATGGACGTGAATTGGACAAATGCATTTGTAGCGGATTGTTACGCTCGTAAAGCCTGACTAACTGAGAAATCTCTATGGCAGTTCTCCAACATCTAGCTAGACTCCCAGAACCAGCTAAGCTATAGCCCAGTTATAAAGGAAACAGACATGTAGCACGGAGCACGCTTATTCAGTACGTATATTGCGGATAAAGTGTACACATGGGGAGCTACTCATGGTCAGGATGGGGGATTAGGTTAAACAAACGGAGGTTATTGATTGGTCACTGTTTTTACGGTCGCTGCACACAGAGTTGTACGGTCGCACCTCCCAATCCTGGCGACCAGACATGCAGGCATACGATGACGCAAAAAGCGATAACGTGTCCCACACATTCAGCAAATTGCTACAATAATGAATATCAGACGAGTAATTAGTAAATCTAATAAAATAACAAGAATTTCTTTAACTTCACGCTCGTTTATATTTGCCAATATTTTTAAATGAATTTATCGATAAGTAGAACCTTCTATTCGGCTTTCGGTTAAACAAAATTTAAACACTCCCAGGGTGAATCGTACAATGTTCATTTTAAAAAAATTCACTCTTCATTTAGTAAATATTTTAGAACTCACGTCTTAAAACCTGACGAAGTAATCTCGTTACCTTGGCGTTGCTCTACTTACCCGTCAGAGGATGTCAGTTGCTCCCCGCAACCACGCCCCCCCCCCCACCCTT